AAAAATAAAAAAAAAAAAAAAAAAAAAAAAAAAAAAACAACTTGGAAGAGGTTGACCCACAGGAGGGTTTTTTCCTGTGTCCAGGTCCTTCTCGTGTCCTCCCACCATGTGGGGTGCCCCGAGTGAGGGCGGGCAGACCTGTCTGTGATCCCACGGTGAGGCGGGCAACCTGTCTGTGATCCCACGGTGAGGCAGACAGTGCTGGCCTGGCCGCAGGCTGCCCCTCCCCACAGCGGCCCCAGCCCTCAGGGCAGCCCATGGTTGGTGTCTGACAGGGCAGTGGCCTCATCTGTGGGGCTGTCCCACAAGGAGCCCCTTCCCTGCCGTCACCTCCACTTCATCCCCGGAGATCGAGTGGCACCGAGGAGCAGGGACCTGCCCCTGTGCTCACTGTGGGGTGGCCTTTCTCTCTCCCTTTCAAAGGCAAAAGACACACCTGGGCTAGTTCCCGCTGCTGATGAGGCCTCGTGGTCCCCAACTGGCCTTGGATGGAGGCAAGTGGCATGTGGAGCTGACTCTCCAGAAGATTCTGAGACACAGAGAGAGAGAAAGCAGAGCCGGACCCTCCCCACGCCTTCCTGACCAGTCCTTGAGCCCTCGCAGCCGCGCTGCTGGCTGTGACCCCTGATTCGATGAACCAGTGTTTGGGGGCTGCATCTGCCTGCCCCCACCCAGTGCCTTCTGCACCCCTTGTCTCCCAGCAAGCCCTCCCCACCTCCCAGCCATCCCACTCAGTCACTGGCCTTTATTTATTGCCCTCCCCCTGCCTCTAGCCCAGTCCCCACCGCCTAGCTCACTCGGTTGGGGTTGGGCTGTTAGGGCCTCAGACCCTCCTCCTGGGGCCTTCCCACATGCACTGCAATCTCCGTGGGGCCACCAGGCGGGGCTTCTCCAGATCTGTATTAATGACCAGAAGAGGCATACCCCTGAACATCACCCTTCAGAGTGAACTCGGACCCTTGAGGTAGGTGGCTGTGGAGCAGGTGGCCGAGAGATCTGGCCCCTTCCCAGCAGCGCCCTGCCTCCCACAGGGCTGGCCCAGGAGCCAGGCAGACAGCTGGCTGGTCTTCCTTAGGCCTCTCTGAACCCCTGCATTGCCCACGCCTTCCTGCCTCACTGCCCGAGGAGCCATGAACTGCTCTGCTAAATACCATTCGCTCACCTTCTGCTAAGTGGTCCCCAGCCAGGCCACGTGGCTCCCCTAAGCCGTTAATTCACTTCTCTTCAGTAGCTTCAGTTTGGCATGAAAAATATTCATTCCAAGTGTGGTCAAAAGCTTCTGGAAAAACCCTTCCCTGAAGAGAAAGAAGTGCGTTTGTGTGCGCGTTAGTGTCCCCGCTCTCCCAACCTTCCTGCCGCCTGCCCCGTGTCAGTCCTCCCAGGGCCTTCCCTCTGCCCTCTCAGCCCCCACCGTCCACTTTTCTGCCCTTGCCTCTGGCGGAAGGTAAAGGCACTCCCAGTTTCCCTGCGTCACCCCACACTTCAGAATTGAGACAATAAAGATTAGCATTTGCATCGAGCCAGCGTGTTGATCAAAGAGCCACAGCCGCCAGTGTTTCTGAGACGCAGCCATAGGGAGATGGATGGGGAAAATCCGATGTGTTGATATGCTGGCAGGCTTCCAAAGCCCCTAAAAGGAACAGCCTGGGCCCCGCGTGTTACCAGAGCTCACAAACCCAGCGCTGACTGGCAAAGCCAAGGCCATCGATGTAAAGCCAGCAGCCTGCAAGGAAACGTATGAATACTCCAAATGAGCTATACAGACTGATAGGTACTCAGGTGAAAAACGTTTGGTGTTTTGGTTTGTAATAGGGCATGTGTACTTGCTAGAAAGAGAGAGAAAAAGAGAAAAATCGCTCCCAGTGGCATCGACCACACCACAATCCCTTCTCCCACTCTCCTCTCAGAATTTTGGGCACACACACACACACACACACACACACACACACACACACACGCCCAGCATAATTTTCAGGTCTCCACGTCTGGGATTCAAGCCATCGGCCATGTGGGATTTAGTCGCCTTAACTTCTACATCATCTGCTGGCCCATAAAAGTGGTTTTAAATGGATGAGGACTTCTGGGCACGTACAGTGGGCTGAATACATTTGTATTCTCTGTCCCTGCAAACCCCACTGGAATGACATAAAGGACTGAACATGGCAAGAGCCACAGAGACAAAGGAGTGGGGAGAGGACGGCAGTGGAGGAGAGCGGCAGAACGACTGGGGATGGAGTGGTGTGATTCGTTTAGAGGCAGTGCCCGCCTCACTCCCCAGAATGTCTACAAGGGAGGAAGCCCACCAAGAAAAACCCATTTGCTCTGCAGAATCCCCCACACGCTCAGAACTTGGAGGGACCAGGTTTCCCTAAGGTGGAAGTTCAGGATGAGTCGAAAAATAGTGTTGGTTGATGGGACAGCCCCATGGCCTAGGGGTTAAGGAAGCCACATCCAACATGGCCAGCTACAGTGTGAATCCTGGCCCTGACAGCTTGACCACCACATGGGAGGGGACCAGCAGTTAGCGTAATGGCTATGTCGCTGGAATCCTGTGTAGTCGACCACAGTTTGAGTCCTGGACCTGGCGGCTTAAACTCACGCCGGGCGCATGTGTGTGCATGCCTACGATCCTGAGAAGAGAATGGAGGAGAAGGGATTGCAGCGTGGCCATCCCCCCTGGGGGGTGATTTCTCGCTTTCTATCTCTCTGTCTCTCTTTGTCCTTCTGGCAAGCGCACGCTTCCCGTTTGATAAAACCCGTTCCAAAAAAAAAAAAAATCCCACATGGGAGGACCAGCGGATGGTGTTGCTTGACTCACACATAGTTGACTGCGGTTTGAGTCCCAGACCTGGCAGTTTCAACCTCACGCCGGGCACATGTGTGTGTGTGTGCCCAAGATCCCGAGAGGAAAATGGAGGAGAAAGGATTGTGGCATGGCCATGCTCCATTAGGCCCCAGTTCAGTTTCTCCCTCTCCCCTGACCCAACCCTATCCATCTTTCTCTCTGGAAAGTGCATGCACCCTCTGACAATTAAAACAACAACAATAACAATAATAGTATTGGTTGAAAGAAGTGGTTAGACCCCTAGGTCCCCTCTCCTAGCACACCCCGCCCAGTGACCTCCTTACCCTGGTAAAGGCAGACTTACTGCTGGCCAAAATTCAACTAAAAAGATTCTGGATTGGGGGCTCTAAGCCTAGCCAAAATTTGGGGTGAGGTGCCTTACTGAAATTGAGATGGGTAGTGCGTAAACTCTCAGCCCTTCACATGCTAACTGCCAGGCCTATCCCCATCACCCACCACCAAGGCAGGGCATTACCAAATGTCTCCTTGGGAAACGGGTCAAAGAGAACAGATGAACAGATCCTGACATCGGGGATTCCTCAGTCCAACAGTGGGTCTCCGCCCTGCCACCACTGCGATGCCTGCAGTCCCCAAGCCCTGCCCCTGTGTGCTTTGTCGTGTCTCACTCATAGCGGGAACAGGCAAGGGCCGCACAACCAAAGATACCCAATAACCAAAACTGCAGACTCGAGCCCACAGAAGAAAGGGGTCAAAAGAAAGTCCCCTGAAGATACTTGTACCCATGAAACAAGAAAAGAATGTTATTTTTTAAAGGAGGTATTGAATTTTGGTAGAAAATTTAAAATGCATAAGAAGGAATGGAAATAAGAGAAAACCTCCCAGAAAGTAAAATACAAAAACAGATGTAAAAGAAGAAAAAGTCAAGAACAGTGGACATCAAAAAGATCAGATCAATACAGAAGGCCAGACTTCCAACTCAGGAATTTAAACTAAGAAACAGAGACCAACAGGAGAGAAAATAGTTGAAGAAATGAGACAAGACTGTTTCCTAGGACTGAAGGCAATGAGCTTCCATATAGAAAGAGCCCGTGTGCCCGGGGCAGTGACAAGAAGCCCCACAGCAGTGGTGCCACAGCAGCTGTCCTGAGCCTAGTCTGGCAATGCCCGGGAGGGGAAGGCTTGCAAGGTGCGCAGCTGCAGCGCAACGCCCACCCCCGACAGCCTGTCCAAACACACAGCTCTGGCGGGGCCTGGGAGTGCGGGTCCAGCTAGCTTCTGGGTGATTCACCGTTGCAGGCCCGCATCTTAGATAGCAGTGGTCTACCATGATGGTTCGCATGCTTGGCTGCTCACTGAAATCACTTGGGGGGCTTTAGAAGTGTTCATGCCAGACCCACCACCACAGATTCTGTTTGGGGCAACCTTGAATAGAGTCTTGACATTGGGGGTTTTTGTGTGTGGGTGGTTTGTCTGTTTTTGCCATAGGGCACATGCACTCACCAGAGATAGAAAGGGAAAGTGAGACATCATCCCTCGGGAGGATGGCCACACCACAGTCTCCTCTCCTCCAGTCTCCAGTTGGAATTTGGGGCACATACACACATGCACCCAGAGTGATGTTAAAGACTCTGGGTCTGGGACTCGAACCGTGCAGCGGCTGGTCATGTGGGATCCTGCACTTTATCCTCCATGCCATCAGGATTTTTAAAGCTCCCCAGATAACTCCAATGTGCTAGGAGAACTAAGGACCCTTCTCCAGAAACTCTTCTACATGGGCTCCAGGGGAATGCACAGAAGGTTCACAGCAGTACATATGTTTTGTACTGAGAAAGAAATTTATATATGTATATATGTTTTGTTTTGAGAGAGAGATTTTTTTGCTACAGTGTACATGCACTCACCAGAGAGACAGAAAGTGAGAAATCACCCCCCTGGGGGGATGGCCACGCCACAATCCCTTCTCCATTCTCCATTAAAGATTTTGGACATGCACGCACACACCCCCGGCATGAGTTTTAAGCCACTGGGTCCGGGACTCGAACCACAATTGACTACATGGGAGTCCAGTGATGTAACCATTTCGCCATCTGCTAGTCCCCTTTCATTTTTTCTAAAGTTAATTTTATTCATGGGAAGGAGTACACGTGCATAACAGGAAAGAGAGACAGAGAGAGAAGCACCCCCAACAGAGTCCCATCATGCCTTGATCCCCTCCCAGCCCCTCGGCACACATACACAGGCCTGGTGTGTCTTCAGGTCAATCCAGGGATCCAAATCCACAGTGAGCCATGTGGCTTCTAGGCTGCCCCCAACTGCCACTAGACTGCGTCAACACAGTACCTTTTCGTTAGCTAAAAATTGGAAACAACCTAAGTACCATAGACAGAAGAACAGATACATACATTGTGATATATGCAGACAATGGAATATTATACACTGGTGAATCTGAGTGCCCACTCAGAGAAAAAGAATCACAAATAATGCCGAACAAAGAAACAGATGGCAGAAAAACGAACACATAAATGAATTTTCTATCTATGTAGACATTTTATAAACATGCAAAAATCATATATATTAAAATACATTCAGGGCCGGCAGGTGGTGTGGTGGTTAAGGATGCTAGATTCCCACATAACCAGTCACAGTTCGAGTCCTGGACCTGGGAGCTTGCTTTCTCACTCCCCCCCTCCCACATTGTCCCTCTCTGGTCAAATTAAAAATAAATACATAAATAAAAAGTTCAATAATTCTTAAATGTGTGTGTGTGTATATGTGTGTGTGTGTGTGTATTCTATAGAGTGAAGGAACAGAGAAATGCAGAGGAAGGATAAGCGGTAGATTGGGGACCTGTAGAGGATGAGCCTGCCCACGGCACTCCGCTCCAGAGCCCTACCGGACCTCTCAGGCCCGAAGCACTCGAACTCCCAGTCATCCCCCATCAGAACCCGGTGCCTGGAATAGGACCGCTCCCTGCAGCCTCCAGGGTGAATTCCGGAAGTGTTTCCTAGACACGGTCTATCAGGACGTAACCCTAGAAGCTTCAGCTGTGAGGTAGAGATGGAAGGCACACTCCCCGTGGGCATCTGCGGGCTGGCTTGGAAACTAAGAGCCCTTTCTTTGCAAAAAGGCATTCCAAATCCCAAGCAACCACCTTATAAGGGAACTTTTAGAACTGAACCTTTCGCGGTGGAGGTTGTTCTGTGACACCTGGGAAAATGAAAGTGATCTGCTTCATCCTAGATACCACAAAACTCCGGGAGAGTCCCTAAAAGAGAAGGGAGGTGGAAAGCCCAGGAATTTTGGATACATGGTTTCAAAATCCCTGTCTGCTACCTCGTGCGTGAAGGTCTCGGTACTTCTCTGCACCTCAGTGTTCTCATTTGTAAAACAGGGCTCATTCTTCCTTCCCGGGATGATCGTGACCATGCGAACATGGAGGCTCCGCAAAGCTCCCACCACCGTGACCAGCACGCCGGCTCTCGGCCTAGAAGAATTCAGACGAGGCGCCTGCCTCAGGCTTTGTCCAGATGACACGGAAGGGGGGGTGCATGGCACCTGGGGCACAGTCAGTGGTCGTGCTGTTCCTTTGGGGGCTTTAGGATAGTGATGCTCCTCTGGGTTCATTTACTCATCAAGCATTTATTAGGCGGCCAAACAGACCCAGCCCCTGCCCTCCTGCTGCATCAGAATCACTCAGTGCCTTTGTTAAGACTC